ACACTAGAAATTCACAAACCTGATGCGATGTGCAGTTAGCCTGATTCATCAGCCAGTTTCACTTTGTGGAAACCGTCTGACCTCACAGCGTTAGAATTCGTTCGTTCGACGGTAGGCAGGTACTTTTTTTATGTAACCAATCATTGCTATTTGGTCGTGACGTATATTAAGCTTTTCCCAAAACCCATAGGAAGAAGGGCAATAACGTCTTTAACCATTAAAATTCACCAAACATTCTCTTTGTTCCGGCTTTAAATCCTCTGTCTCGGGGATATATCGTTGCCAATACAGAACGTATGGCTCTTCGCTGATTGGCTGGTGCCTGAACTCGCATTTTCGGGGTTCTTGCAAAACGTCTAGTGCATTTTGTTTCCTGACCTAGTCGCTGGAGAGAAATGAAATTGAGCGTGGCTAATGTGCAGTAGGTCATTAATGAAATTCAAAATGATTGTAATGTGATATGACACAGTTACACTTTAAGCTGTAACTCATGTAAAAATACACTACTAGCAGTACTGGATTTGGTTTATAGAAGAGAAATAGTAGTTGCAGAAATACTAATTTAATACCAATACTAACGGGAGTATTCTGCGGCATGTGAGGTGCAGTAGAAAATATCATTTAATCTTTGATATTTAATTAGTTTGTACAACTTTCCGCACGTCATAAACAAGACTTATTGCTGCAGTCATAGTACTTCAACATAACACTTAGTTTCAAAATGTTTTGTCTCACCTCTAATGCACAATCAAATCCTCTCCTATACCCACATAAACCACGTCTCTTTGGCACACGCTCGGCTCGCTCTGTGCCATCTCGTTAGCACGCCAAGCTAAATACCAGGATGACAAATACGGAATGGACCTCCGCCAATCCCGTACAGCGCAATATTAGATTAACCTTTATAATATCGAGCCAGCCTAAATGACGGCAAATGGATTTTAACTTATCGATCCCTCATCATTTCCCAGTGTCATCGAGAGACAGAAAAACAGGCAGTGAAATCGCCAGCGCTGGAAGACTTTTTTTTTCCCCCCCTCTTTTTTGTAATGTATGGAGCAGATTAAAGAATTCAATACGTTTTGGACATAAGCGGCTCTTTCTCATTACCGGATATACACAGGGAAGACTCAGCGCTAATATAAAGGTCTCAGAGCAGTCGTTGAAACTGAGAGGGAGAATGCTTTTAATTTAGTTGGACGGCACCCCAGGACCTATGGCGCCGCTGATGATAAACTTAAGACTTGTTTGTAATGACGGACCAATAAAGACGTGATGTATTCTGCCACCTGCAAGAGAAAATATGAGGGCAAAATCCATAGAAATGATAATAAGGATGTGATAATAGGGGAAAGGATTGTGGAGATGAAGAATCCTGTACACGTTTTTTTTTTTTTTTACTTGTATTTGAGCAACATTTGTCATGATGTTAACATTTCAAACTCAATTTCGATACTAAGAAATAAACTCAAACGCAACACTGATGCCGATAACACAAGACACTCTTTCTTTAAACAATAGAATGTGATTTTCAGTATTAAAGGTGCATTCTGTAACTTTTCTGGTTCAGGATCTATCAAATGCTTTTCTCTGTCGAAATTATTGTTATTGCTTTACCTGGAATGTTTCACAGTATGGCATTAAAACATTTGGTAACACTTTATTTTCGGGTACACTTATTAACATCTAACTACCTGCACATGAACATGGTTGTAGATGGTTAATTTGTTATTAATTAGTATTTATTCAGCCTTTATTAATGTCTAATTCCCCATAAGCTTATTCTGCTATTAGTTAGACATTTACAAACACTTTCCTATTAATACACTCATTATTACTGCTTATTAGTATAATACAAAGCCATTTTGTTACTTATTTGAATTTAATGAATTTACCTTATGTAATAAAACACTCTCTATTAAGCGTCAATAGACTCCAACTACCCCTGAATTAAGTCATTAAGCTCTAAATATGTTCCCCATTCTGAAGTGATGTTTTGATCATAGTTAATAAATGGCTAGTTTGACACAAATAGAAATGAATCTGGTCCCTCTTCTAAAGTGGTTTCTTCTTCACACTTAATTCATGTATTGTGACATGCATTTTAATAGTTCATATATCACGGAGACCAAACCAGACCAAGTTACAGGTCAGAGCTGTGGAGAGGCAACCTCACTCACAGTCAGAATGTCTGTTTTTGTATGTATTTTTGAGGTATAAAACTATCTAGAATGGTAATAAATATAAGGTAGAGCTGTTTAATATCATGTGGAATGTCGAACAATCCAGGCAAAGCAGTGTCATCTCCATAGACGCAAGGAAGTGACGGACCCCCAACCAAAAAGTTACACAGTGCACCTTTAAGTAATGGTACTTTCTTTTATGTCACCGCGTGTTGTTATATCTGTGTAATCCCTCAGTCGTCCATGGGTGTAACTGATGCACCCAAGGGAACCAAACCAAACATGGGGACATCAACAGACGTACTTCACTCTACTGTAGTGAAAATACAGAATATTTAGCAGTGTTGGGGGGTAACAGATTACATGTACCAGAGTTACGTATTCGGTTACAGTTACTTTGTTGAAATAAATGGATTATATGGTGGTGTTTTCCTGTTTTCACATTTTGGGCTAGATCTAAACTAGATCTAAACCAGGACTAAAACAGGATTAAACAGGATTTAACAGGACTAAACCATGCTGCGCGGATGTGTCTCCTCCTCTTCTATCAATAATATTTTTAATACGGTTAAGTAAAGTCTGGGCTTTTCATTGTCTTTTAGCAGAGAAAAAACATCTTCGGTTACGACATCCTAGTCTTTGCTTCTGTACAGCAAATCAAGTAATCCAAAGTATTCAGATTACGTCACAAACTACAGTCTGGGGGGTGTAATCTGTAATCTGTAGGGGAATACATTTTAAAAGTAACCTTCCCAACGCTGATATTTAGTTTGTGGAAAACATGTAGAAAGTAAGAGCTTTGTGCATTTGTGGACGGGGGAGATGTCTGTGCTTTCCTCCCAACTGGATGCGACTACAGTTCGATTTTTCATCTTGTTCTGCTGTCGTGGCGCTTTGACCAATCAGATTCAAATATTCTCCATGACGTCCCGTGTTTCTCGATCGTTTTCAGCGAGAGCCGTTCCAGATTAATAACGTGTAGAACTCATTTCAGAGCGACACACATCTCAATCTGCCGTGAGCCAGGTTACTGCGCTTTGCCCAAGGACACAACAACCCACTGACCCAACTAGAACCACCCACCTCCAGTTATATGAAGACCACTCCACCATCTGAGCCTGTAATGACATATTTTCAGTCACTAAGCCCAAGAACGAGCATCTTGAGTGGTCCGTGTGCTCTCCAAACCTTCTGGGAAATGTAAAAAGACCTGAATGAAATAATGTGGGTTATTCTAGTGTTAATATCATCAAATGTACAATCTGCAGCTATTAACCCTTATTAACCTTCTACGCATATCGCACTGTCTATACATTTATTCATGAGGTGGTCACTGCTAGACTTAAAGAGACCTATTATGCAAAATCAACTCTCATGAGCTTTAAGAGCTTTTAACCATGTTTAGTCTCTGTGTCTATTTTTAATATTAATAAAAGCCACTGCCTTGGACAACCTTAAAAGCTGCTGGCTCACCAAGTTTAGTATTTAGACTCTTAAAATCTGAACTGGTTTAACTTTAGACTCACTGAAACTTCTATGAGGCGTCACAATCCCGAGCTCTGTCAGTTTTGCAGTTCACACACAATATAAGTTAAATGCCAGAAAAAGTATAATATTTCCACGTACAGAAATGACTGTAAGTATCTGAAGTATTTGACAGGTAAAAAGACTAAAAAAAGATGGCTCCCACACTCAGAGAAGACAAAGGACAAGTGAGCACCCAATTACTTCTCGGAGCGGAGCTGTTAGAGAGAGGTGTCCAGCTCAGAGACAGTCCACCTCTTTGTCTGGTCGATGTCTGCATATTATGTTTACAATTCAAGAATTCAATAGCTTTATTTGTTCTAAATAAAAAGAAACATGAAAATCTTTAACAGTGAGACAACAGCAATTGGACTGGGAGAGTGTAGCAGATTTAAAGACGCACTTGCAACTTTTTTTAGTGGAGATGTTATTGCTATGAATAGAATGCTACACAGTTTCCATACAAGTCGATTTTTTTTTTTTTTTTCATTGTTTATCTTTTCTGGCGGAGGGTCCTTCAAATATTTTTGTCCATGGAGGTTCATCCATCCATTTTCTTCTGCTTTATCTGGGGCCGGGTCGTGGAGGCAGCAGTTTGAGCAGGAAGGCCCAGACTTCCCTTTCCTCCAGCTCTTCTGGGGGGATCCTGAGGTGTTCCTAGGCCACACCAGAGACATAATCCCTCCAGCTCCCCAGGGAGGTGTCTAGGAGGCACCCAGGAACAGATAGATGCCTGAGCCACGTCAGCTGGTTCATCTTGACATGTAGGAGCAGCAGCTCTACTCCGAGCTCCTCCCATGTGACTGAGCTTGTATCCGTGATCTTGTCCTTTTCGGTCATTACCTAAACCTCATAGGAGCTATTGCTTTGTCTAGAATGTTTCAAAGTATGGTATTAAATCTTTCTCTCTTCATGGAGACAAAACCAGACCAAGTTACATTTCAGATCAATCAGTCAGAATACTGAATGATGTTTTTCCAGGTATTTCTGAGCTATAAAACCACCTGTAATTGAATGTAAATGTAAGGTAGAGCTGTTTAATGTCATACTATGAAACACTCAGGGCAGAGCAATGACGTCTCCATAGAAACAAGCAGGTGACGGACCCTCAACCAAGAAGATATTGTTCATAATTATTCCTAAGCATGGTCAGATTGTTTTTTTTGCTGTGCCAATAATGTATTCACGATTTTGCATTCAATCTTACATACTGTTTTAACCCCTGGTCACACGTACATACACCCAGGCTTTTGCTCCACACATAATCTGACCCTGTTCCTCTCCCGTCCACAGGAGCAGCCTTCATGATGGTGAACACTTCAGGGCGTTTCGCAGGTCAGAGGGCCCTGCTCCTGTCCCCTCAGCTCAAAGAGAATGACACCCACTGCGTCCTTTTCCAGTACTACATGGGCGGACGCGACGCCAGCCACCCCGGCCACCTCAACGTCTACATCCGAGAAAACAACAGTCCCATGGGCATGCCCGTGTGGAACGTGTCCGGACCTGCCACCAGAACGTGGGGGCAGGTGGAGCTCGCCATCAGCACCTACTGGCCCAACTACTATCAGGTAACTATGATTACTACATATACTACAAAGACTACCAGGTACCTTTACAATAATATAACTACTACCAGGTTATTGTGATTACTACATACACTGTAAATACAATAATGTAACTACTACCAGATTATATAATATTATGACCATCAGCACCTACTGGCCCAACTACTGTCACGTACACTGATATGATAAATACCAGGTCACTTTAAAATAACAAGCAGGTTACTTTAAATATGATCTAATCTGAACACTAAAGTGGCTGTTAGACGGTTTCCTTGTGCCCTCACCTGTAACACAGAGTCCTTGTGTGTGTGAGTGTGTGTGAGATAGAGAGAGGATACAGCAGCTGCTCTGTGTGGAGGCTTTGTGCTTAAGCCTGCCTCATTATGTTCTGTGGGAGGAGGAAGACAAATTTATTATTTGAGAAGAACCAAACAATTGTACAATGGCCCATTGAAAACCCCTGCGATTATTGATTCTGGTGCTGCCGTATCCATGGTAATGTGTCCCTCCTCTGTGCGCCTGAGCCACTTGTGCGTTTCCATTTGTGAAAGTCATTTTCACTTCCCGGTGCACACGAGTGCGGCCGGGCCAAGGTCATTTCACACTTGCCTTGCTATTAGTCGGGAGCCAGACTTGTTCCACAAGTCCACCAAATGTTAATTGATGCAGAGGGACCCTTCACCTCCCAATGGGAGCTGCGGCCTGGAGAGGTTTTTCATTAAGACCAGGTAGAACCGGTCCACAGTGAGACTGGGCTCCAGCTGCTCATCACATGCAGCTCATGACTTAGTTAACAAGGACCAATGTGACGCTCCTGTAAGATGGCCTCCACTAGAGGGACTATGTATATGAGGAGTGAGTCAGGACTGACCTCAGATTGATGTTACTGTACACTTGTGTCCAGTGGAAATGTACCTTTACAAAAGTACAACATGTCTCTTGTTCCTTTGACATTGGAGTTCACAGTATTTTCTCTGAGCTCTTTGTCTAAGAGAGAGGACAGGTTTAAAGCTCACAGGGACAAACATGGCCGCCGCAGTGATCCGCTGCCACGCACAGCCGAGAAAAGATGGAAATTGTCACTAATTAACAACACGCACTAATTATGGGTATCTTTAATTGCACGGTAACCTACGCAATTGTCAAAGGGAAGCCACCTGAGTGTGTGAAATTATTTTTTAATTAGCGGTTTAGATTCCTGTCATCCCCAGCCTTCTGATAATTACTCCTGTTAGGCCATCCTCAAACTTTTAATGGAGATTACCATTTGTCTTTTTCAAATGTGAAATTACAATGCACTATTCTGAAATAAAAGCACGGCTGTAGGATATAATCATGTCCATTCAATATGTCAGGGAAAAACGACTTCAAATGAGAATATTTATTTTGAGTTGAAAAAGGTTGATTCCATTTTATTTACTGAATCTAGAATATTTTGTTTAGTTATATTGCTCACAATCTTATATATATCAATATAAATCATGTCCAATGTTGATTCACAGTAACATCTCAAAAACCTAAAGCACTCTAAAATGTGTACTGATTTTGGCTTCTAAATAAAATACAAAAAAGTTGTATCTCACTGTTATTATTATTTTCCCTAGAAATAATTAAATACTATTAAAAATAAATAAATAAATACAAAGGTTTTATTTTATTTTTATTAATTTTATTTAAATTTTATTACAATTAAAAACAGAAAAAAAGTCTATTCATTTGCTTAAAATGAATAGACATAGATGATGAAACAGCATTATAACACAGATCAGAAAATAGTGTAATATAGCCCTTTAAAGTATTTTATCGCAATGTAAAAATAAAATCCTACAAGTGTCCCATTGTTCGTCTGAGTACAGTGTCGCCTGTAGCTGCATTGTGATAATTAAAATGCTATTGTCCCGTTAGCTTCATCCATGGAGCGATTTTACAGAGATACAGCTACTGACAATTGAATCATCTTTTTCTCTATGAGTGAACTTTAAAGAGTCATTGTGTAACTTTTCTGGTGGCATATTGCTTTGTCTGGAATGTTTCACAGTATGGCATGAACAGGGTAGCCGCGGGGTCTGAAAAGTCTTAAAAAGGTCTTAAATGTTCCTAAATTAAAGCCTTATAAAGTCTTAAATTGTGTTGTCCAAGTCTTAATTTTCATAAAGGTCTTAAATTTCATTAGTCTATTTTTTTGTTTACTCAACCGGGCTGCAGTGCAATGTTAAATGGAGGGAGGGAAAAAAAGCAACGTGAAACCACATAATGTGAATGGACGTCTAATTTGGAGCATTGGAGCATGCACAAACAATACTTTGGTTTCTCTTTTGGTCTCCTTGGTTTCTGGTGCTGGTGGCAATGAGTAAACAATCAGTTCAGAGGAGGAAGACGTTGGATGGATCATGGGGAAGTGTCGATTTAATCCACAGTGGCTCTTAGATTCTAGATATAGTAGTTGGTTGGTGATTATTAGAATTGGATCTGGTGTTTTTCGCCCATATATTGGGTGGGATGTTAGTCTTCATTTTCATTTAAGTGGTCTTAAAAAGGTCTTAAATTTGGGGTAGTCAAACCTGGGGATACCCCGATTAATCAGGGCTGGGTATCATTAAGAAATTACCGATATAATACATACCTCGATACATAGGCCACGATATGATACATTTCTCGATACAGTGCACTTTCAATTCGATATGATATATTTCAAATAGATTTTATACGGTTCAATAAAAAATAAAGGCTAAATGGTTGTGATACTAAAAGCTTTTGTTAAACCACTTCTTGTGCAAAGTTCATATGAAACACAAACATTTTAATCATCAAAACTGTGAAAATGTCAAATGTGTCGCATAAATGAGTTTCCTTCCTCTGAACAAGCAACAAAACTGTAGCTCTGTAACAAAATAATTTAGTAAAATATACCAAAAAATACTCTTGGCGATATATCGATACAGCAGCCCATGATATCGATACTGTATCATCACATTAAACAATACGATATAGCAATATTTAGATTTTTTTTTTTTTTGCACACGCTTAGCAATAAACCTTTCTGTCTTCATGGAGACCAAACCAGACCAAGTTACAGGTCAGATTTGTGGAGAGGCGACCCAGCTCACAGTCAGAATATGTGTTTTTCTGGGTATTTTTGAGCGATAAAACCACGTCCAATTGAACACATATAAAGTACAGCTATTTAATCTTATACAGGCAGAGAAATTGCAAGCAGGTGAGAGACCGCCAACCAAAAAGTTACACAGTCCACCTTTTAAAATGCCTCCAAATGCTCCGGTCCCACGCTGATATTTGTGCTATATTTGAACTATATTTGTACTATACCTCATTACACACAGAGCTATCATTGGTATTAGCATCTATTACATCAGAGCTATTAGGCCTTGTGACTGATGTGAGACGCATAAACAAAAGGATTTCAATTAGCAAGCGGGGGCCGGGTCATCTGTCTGCTGCTGCTGTTGTACGGAGTGGTTAGCCTTTTTAATTTCCTTTAAATGAGCCTGTAATGAGGGCCTAATTGGCACATCTACTTTGATATTCCGGCGGGCGAGAGGGGCCTTTTATAATTAGACTTATCTGACGGCATCCGGGCTCCCATGTGAGCACGGCGACCATCTCAGGCGCCGTACGTTCCAATGACAAAAGGATGCGGCGTAGCAACATCCCAGATAACACAACACAAAAAGACTAATAATAAATAGTCGTGTCCATGTTCTAGGATTTCATTTCAACATGGAGATGGAGCGCCAAGGAAAATCTTATTCAAGATGTGATTGTTTAATGATAAAGCCACAGTATTAAAGGTGCGCTGTGTACATTTTCTAGTGTTTGTGTCCATGATGATTTATTTAGAGTCATAGTTTGTAACTTTTTGGAGCTGGAAAGACATATGGATGTTTCCAAGATGTAAAGTTCAAAACATTCTCCATGGAAATTGAGTTTTATGCCATATTGTGAAATATTATTATCCAAGCTGGCGCCACCTAGTGCTTTCGCTCAATTTAATTTGCTTCCACCGACTAGGTCTGGAGTCGGAATAAACTAGAAGTTGTAGACTGCGCACTGGCCAATCAGTGAAGAGCTGTGAAGCCATGACGTCAAACTCAAGCGCCTTTCTGGGTCCCTTTTGTGGTACAGCACAACAGTAAACAAAGTGGTCAAGATGGATGTAGAAGAAGACAGACATTCTGTGTTGGCAACGATTCCCGAGATCGAGGATTTAAAGCCGGAACAAAGAGAATGTTTGGTGAATTTTATCAAGGGGAAAGATGTTATTGCCCTTCTTCCTATGGGATTTGGCGCATTACATACGTCACGACCAAATAGCAGCGATTGGTTAAATTAAAAAAGTTCCTGCCTAGTGTTGAGCGAGCAAATCCTAATCCTGCGAGGTCAGACGATTTCCATGAAGTGAAACCAGCTGATGAATCACTCTTGAATATTATAGCCAAACTTTTCCATAGAAAACAGCAGGAAAGTCCCTCCAGGGCAAACACGAGTCAGATTTGTGGAGATGCAAGCCTCCTTTTTCTACATTTTTAGTACAATAGGCTCTATTCACGCTTACGTCACAAACCGGGAAGGCGTTTGGAAACATGCGATGACAACTTCCTGTGGGCTCTGTTCACAGTAGTCTGAAAAAATTTAGGAAAAACTGAGAAAATGTCCCAGTTTTCTTCATCTCCATGTCATTGTAGTGTTCAGTTATGTTCGGCTAATCAACAATTACAACCCTACCTCAGTTTTCCTCATTTCCCCCTGACACACAACTCCGAGCGCACTGGGTTCATGCGATTAGAAGAGACGAGACACGAAATTCAAGATGATTCCAAACAGCACATACTTCTGCAGTCTTCATTTTACTGCTGATCAAATTTACTTCATTGGGTTTTATCAGAGTCGGTCGCTGAGTCCAGTGTTGGTAACTACACCATAAGCATGTTTCTGAACGTCTTCTTGGTTTGTGACGTAAGCGTGAACAGAGCCTATAACAGGAT